TCTATCACCATCCTGCCCCATTTTCTCCCTGTCCCCTCAGCCCCCCTGTTGCAGCTTCGTACCCGTTGCCAACCATTCCCCCTGCAATTGTGCAAAGGGGACATTGCCACCGAAACCACTGCCAGACTCTCCCTCTCTTCCCGACCCGGTCTCCCTCCTCCTCGCTGCCAGCCCAAGGTGCCTTGTGACGGACACTCAGGACCACCTGTGGGGACCACTGCTCAGGAGGGAGCCCCGCGTGAGGTCCATGCCCTCGGGTCACACGACCCTCTCGTCCCAGGCTGCAGCCACCCACCCTGCCTGTCACTTCCTGGACACACTTCAGCCATCTGAAAAGCCTGCCTCGCTCCCTCGCTGCTTCTGTGACCAGATGACTCCCACCTGACCTCAAAACTCAGTTCCATTTTATAATCAGCAAAGAAAAATTGTACGTATTTTTAAAACAGCAGCTCAGTTCAAGATCTGCCTCTTTCTGGAAGCTTCTCCCTGGCACCTTTGCCATGGCCTGTGCACCCCGCTACCTGCAAGCCTGTTTCCACCCCACCCCCACCTAAGCTCCTAGGGTGGTAACCCAATTTTGCAGCCCACTGTGCCTTAGAAATCTTTGTGCCACCTGTGCCATGTCTCTGAAACAAGCAGAGTTTCATCCAGGTGTTTCACCTGAAGAGCTCTAAGGAGGGCAACTGGAGGGGAAGCACCCGAAGGTGGCAGCAGCAGAAACAATACCCCTCCCCCCCAGGGTCCCAGGGCAGAGCCCCAAGCCCAGGGATGACTGGGGACCATCACTGTGGCAGCCCTTCTCCCCCCTCTCACCCTCCGACCTCTTGCGGGTCCTCCCGGCAGCCAAAGCCCAAGGGGAGTCACCCTGCAAGGCACCTGGATGATGGGATCCTGGGAAGTGACCCCTGGGGATACAGAGCAGGCAGAAGGAAGGAGAACAGGAGCACACGCCCCGTTTCCTTCAGAGAAACATGAGGGCGGGAGGAAGCCGCCCCACTGATGAGGCTGTGCGTGCAGCTCCTGGCTTTCCAGACGGACGAGAACCCACTGGCCTTGGCCTCGGTGGGGGCAGACCTGCCACCAGGCTGAGGGAGGCTCTGCACCCCACCTCTCAGGGAGATGTGGGTTCCTCCAATTGCTCCCTACCCCCCGTTGCTGGGGTGCCACTGGGACAGGCTGAGGGAAACCTCTACTGCCATTGGAGGGGGCTTCTGTCCACGGGCAGATTAAGGCCTCAGGCTACCTGATTCCTACCTGTGTGCGCCCCCCCACCCCACGATACCCCAGGGGGTCACCTGCCCCAGCCAGGCCAGCACTCAGGGGCCCCTTTAGAGCAGGAGTCTGGCAGTGTGCTGTGACCCAGCCACACCGTGCCCGGTGATTCTATCCAGCTGACAAGGGCTCCCACCAGCCACCACCAAGATCAGCCCTCTCACCATTATAATTAATACTCGGCTCTGTCGGTTAGGGCGTCCTGCTAGTTGGTCTGTAAATCTTTGTGCAGGAAAGGGCACCTGCCCATTGCCAAGCAGAGACCGGACTGGGGGAAGGACATGGGGACAGGGTGACCCGTCACCTTCCTCGTGTCAGCCACACTCTTTCCCTTTCCGGAAAGAAGAGGACGGAACCACAGCAGGTGGGACACAGGCGCTGAGCTCAGAGAAGGATGAGGGGAACACAGACGGCCCCCCGGGTGAAGGGCTCTTGCGGGGGCAACGAGACCCTCCCTTGGGCAGCAGCTCCGACCCGGCTGTCCTGTCCGTGTGCTGAAGGCAGAGGTCACGTAACCAGCCCCCAGGAGGACCACGGCACTCCAACACTCATCACGGTGAGACAGCCAGCCATCAAAAGAGACCAGGCTCTGTCTGGAGGGGGGTCCGCCCAGAAGGGCCCACGCTCCTCTGAGTCACAGAGCCCGGGGATTCCTCTGGAAGGGCGCGTCCTCAGGCTTTAAGCCTCCTCCCGTCTCTAACACCTGTCCTGACACTCAGGTGACCTGGTTTAGGTCAGGGCTTGTCAGCCACACTATTACCATTTGGGGCCGGGAGCTCCTCGGTTGGGGGCTGTCCTGTGTGTTGAGGACACTGAAGGCGCACCTTGGCCTCCCCGCACTGGATGCTCACAGCACAGCCCCCAACGTGTGACACCAAAGTGTCTGCAGACATTGCCATTGTCCCCTGAGTCCACGGCGCCAGCTGAGAACCTCTGGTACAGGGAGTCCTGGCTGAGGACAGAGGTGAAAGCCTTCCCGGCCCCTCCCACACCCCGAGTCTGTGGGTTCTGAGACATGTGCGGGGTGGGGGGGTTTGGGAGCAGCATGAGTGAGGAGGGAGAAGCCGGCGGGGGGCAGGGGCCGGGTTGTCCTCAGGGCACAGGACAGGTGGATGTGGGTCCCAGAGGCAGGGCTGCCCTGGAAAAGTCCCTCACAGAAGTGATTTGCATAGCGCTCAGAAGATTTGCATAGAACGGTCTGCATCCGAGTGACCCAAGCTTTTGGAACAGGCAGACCCTTGGGGTCCTGCTGGTGAAAGAAACCAGTTGTGAGGCAAAACTGGGGTGGGGGAGTTGAAGCCCCAGGCCAGGAAAGGACCAGGCTGCTCCCGGAACCCCCATGGGAGGGAGCAGGGTGCCAGCTGCCCCACTCACCTCGTCCCCCACCCCACCCCCATCGTGCACACGGCCCCCCTCCCTCAGAGTCCAAGCTGGCGAGCTCCCAGGAGCCTCCCAGCTGTGCTCTGGCCCTGTGTGGTCTGCAGTGCCGCCCAGCAGGTCGCTCTTCCATTCAGCCAGCTGCTAAGCTGAACTGCTTCTGGGCCTTTCCACCGACGCCATCTTATCAGAGGCTCCATCTTTGATCTTACTTCATAAACTCATGAGTTCTGGGGTTACACTAATGTAGGAAGCCCTGCGAAATGGGGTGCTTTCTGCGCGAGGTCCGAGGCTCCTAGGGAATGTCCTTCCAGGCTGGGGTGCCCCCGAACAGCCCCTGGAAGGGCCCATGAGCCTGCGGGCAGCTGCCCACCCTTAGGCCAGTGCTCCCACCTGCATGGAGAGGCCCGTCTCATCCCCAAGGGGGTGGGTCTGGATGGAGGGAGGTCAGCACAGCCTCCGCGCACAACCCACGCAGCAGGCCCCGAGGCCGCGGACGCAATTGTCGTCTCCCACGTACCCAGGGAGTAGATGGATGGTCTCTGTGCAGCGCTGTCTGAAGAAGCCAGACACTGTTCCCCAATCCAACCTGCTTAATTTCATCCTTCATTTCATAAACAGAGTCCCCAAAACGGCTGTTCTCCCAGCTCAGGGCTGAGAGAGAAAGGCCTGGGGGAGACGACACCATTTACAGAAACTGTAAGACCATTCCATGAGCCGACATGCTGTGAAGAGAACCAGCATGTGCGATGTAAACACCTACCGCTGGGTGTTCCTCTGTAGAGCGTCCTTACGTCAGGCGGGCAGGAGGGTGCAGCCTGTGGGGACTTGTGCCGACCACAACAAGGGTGGCTTCATGGTTCAGTGGCCTTCCTTTCAAAGCACCTCTTAAAGGTCTCCTTTAAATATCGCCACCAATACATCAGGGGTGGAAATAAAGGCATGCTGGTGTCTCAAAATGTGTAGCGTTTTCATCTCCCGATTGGGACATGCGTGAGGATGTCTCTAAGCATCATGGATGGCCAGGGTGACTGGGGGAGAGGCGGGGTGGGGAGGGGAGCCCCGCTGAGTTAGGGAGCTCACGTCTCAGCTGGACCTGGAGCCTTGGAGACACATTCTGAACCCATTTCATGGCCACCTGTCCTCCTTTCGGCCAATATGTATGTATTGACAAGTGGAGCAGTGATGGGCCGGCTCCTGGGCCCGCTCCTGGGCCCGCGTTAATTACCACTGTGCGCTGTCAGCATGATCAGAATTTCGTCGCCAGCCGTGGGCAGAGGCCCATCCCTCTTACCAACACTCAGCTCCCTGTAAGGCGAGGGGCAAGCTTGCCAGGCTCCGGCTACAGCTGCTCCACTCAAAGGCGGCTTCCTGGGAGGGCCTCTGCCCACAGCTGCCCAGCGGCCACTGTGCAACTTGCACCTGGGCAGGGCCTCTGGATTTCCAGGTCCAAATGCAGGGTCTTGGGTGGCACCGAGCTTGACCCAGGGCTCCCCCTCCCTATCGGTCGGCCCGGAAACGCCGCAGGCCTCCCCCTCCTGCACTGAGCAGGGCCTTTACAGGGCAGACGTCAGGCTTCCTCTGAAGGAGGCGCGTGTGCCCTGAGGGCGGGGCTGGACAGAGTGCTGCTGCTCCTTTGGGGACGTCCCCTCTCTCCCACTGTCCTGCGCTCCCCTCCCCCAGCCCTGCCCTGGCTGCCCGAGGCCTCAGATCCCTGCACATCAGTGTCGGATCCATGAGGTCCCTGGCGGAGTCGCTGGCATGGCCCTCTGTGGTCTGGCTTGTCCATGTGCGGATCCCGAATTTGGGGGTGTAAAACAGCATCACCGTGGTGGGGGCTCCCCACTGCGTCATGGCTGGATGGTCAAGAGAGATCTGCCTGGTTGGGGGTGGACGGAGCAGCTGTCCTGTGGGTCCCATTCATCAGGGACACCCCCTCCCTACCCCCCTCCAAAAATAAGACAAGAAGACCCACGCCAGCTGAGTTGGCGTGCCGGGGCTGCCAGTTACGGGCCGTGGCCGTGCCCGCCCCTCTTCTCGGGCAGGGTCATTTGCATTCCTGAGTACAGCGTGTTCAGTTTCTGTCCTGCCTGGCCCTGTACTCAGCAGAACCAGTTTTGGAGGGTGCGGTTCTGGTCTGCGACAGCCAGTCTCAGGGAGCCCCAGGAGGCCCGGGCCAAGGAGAGCATCAGGAACCGGGGCCCCCAAGCCCGGGGGGAGCTGGCCACAGGGCTCAGCAGACGCCCCGACCTCCCCAGCTGGGAGAGGAGGCATCGGATGGGCAGTTTCCTACAGAGCCGTGGTTCACAGTCACCTTGGATGTCACCTGCAGCCCTGCACACCCAGCTGGCACAACGCTTTTATTAATGATAATATGCATTCATGAGGCCCCTCCCTTCTCTGTGCCAGGCAGTTTGCAGGGAAGCAGGTGCCCTTGCATTCATTTTAAAGATGAGAACGCACTTTACACCCCCACCCCCACCTGGGAGCATCTCCCACTTGCCTTTGGTGTCCCAGGGGTACATTTGCATGGGGCGACCCCTTTGGGTGATGCTGGAGCTGACCTCTGTGTTGGGAGCGCCCCAGGATGCCATCAGGGCTTCTCAGGGCCTAGAGATTCTTCTGGAAGACTGAGCTGTGGCCTCTGAAGCTATGGTGTCGAGCTTGTCCTGGGTGCCTGTCTGAGCCTGCCTTCGGGGGGCTTCACTGTGGCACTGCTGGGAGGCAGGAGGGAGGTGCCCTCAACACCTCCCCCAACACACACACACACACACACACAAACACACACACACACACACACACACACACACACACAAACACACACACACACACACACACACACACACACACACAAACACACACGTCAGCGATGCAGCACTCCCTGGGAAGTGAGCTTGCTTCAACCCCCTAGGTCTGTCCATCCACGAACCTGACCCCCCAAGCCCATGAAAATGCACTCAGGACATGGCCGGTGGGCAGCAGAGACCTGGCTCCAACCTTCTCTGTTGGGGGCCGGGAAGAGGCTCCTTAATGAATGGGCTGTGAAAGCGTGGGCAGAGCGGGCAGAGCCCCCACAGAGAACAGCGCCTGACCCCACTCACACTCACGCGGGCAGTGCCGTCCATGAGCTGGCGGAGGGCGCCGGCGCCTGCCCCCACCCCACCCACACCTCCCCTTCCTCTTCCGCTGTGAGGAAGGCCCGAGCTCGGCCCTCAGGAGCTCCGACTGGCTTCCCCAAGGCGGCGGCTGATGCCAGACTCACACAGGCGCATTTGGACGGCGTCCCTGGACGCTCTGCGCAGGCCCCACCCCAGCTGGACCACAGCATTGTCTGGGCTTAAAGAAGTTGGGGAACAGCACCCGCCTCCCTATGTCTGTATGAGCTGCTTTCCTTTCCTGCCAACTCTGGGATCCCAGGTGAAGTCCCAGGTGCCAACACCAGCACTTGGGACCCGGAGTAAAACTGCGCCTCTCAGAGCTCAGAGGAGATACCTAGGAGGTACTGGTCCTCAGGAAGGACTGGCAAAGCTGCAAAGCCACATGGTGAGCCCTGCACAGCCACGGAGAGGTGGGGGGCTCCTGTTGTCCCCAGGGTGACCGGTGGGAACAGCTCACGGCACAGTGAACCCCACAGCTCTGGGTGCCGCCCAAGTGGACATCCCAGCTGGGGCTGCAGGGTTCGTGCTGAAATGAACTTTAAATTTCTTTTCTTGTAAATGGAGGTGAGGGACTGTGCTTTGTCAGTGTCCCATGCCCCCCACGGCATGAAAAGGGGACAGGACCCCTGGGAGGAAAACGTGACAGGGGCTGGCCAGGAAGAGCTTGGGCCTCCCCAGGAGCTCAGCATGGAGACAATGACAAGGGATATGAGTCCTGAGGTGGCTGCTGCCTGCGTGCGTCATCAGAGCAGGCAGAAGAAGGCAGGAGAGTAAGCAGACCCACTCAGGAGACAGGAGGGAGAGGCCAGAGGGGGGAGGCGTTCTCTGCCAGCTGCCTGGGGAGAGCCACCACCTGACCGGGCACAGGAAGTTCTTGGGGCTCGCTGGAGGAAGGGGCAGGAGGGTCCCTGGGAGAGTGTCCCATGCCCCCCATGGGGAGAGTGAGGTTGGAGAGCCAGCCCCCAGGACACCCAGGGACGCCTCCTGCTGGGGCAGGCCCTTCCCTACGCACGTGCCAGGCCCCCATCCTGCCTCATGCCCACAGCAGGCTCCAGGGGGTGTGAGTCCTGTCCCCCACCCTAGCTGAGCACCCTCCAGTCCTCTGTGCACCCTCCAAGCCGTTCAGGATCTGCCCCCCCACCCTCCCCCCACACACACACACATACACACACCATCCATCCCCTGTCTGTCCCCTCACACCCCTACGACCACGCTGATTCAACCCATGCCCAGCTGGGCACCTGCTCTGCCCTCTGCTCAGAGGGTGTCCAGGTGCCAGTTCACTGCATTTGTCTCAGATCCTCCCGGGACCATCCTGACCACCCCACCCCGTCTCTCACTGTCCCCAACCCTGCGCTTGTCTCCCCTCTTGTTACTTGACTATTTGCACATGGCTGATGGTCCCCCTCCCTGGGATCTAAGCCCCATGAGTTTGGAGATGGTTGCGGTGCCTGGTGTGGCTTCAGGACCGGGCACATGGAGGGCCCCAATCAAAGCTTGTTGAGTGGACAAACGAATGGATGAGTGGATGAATGGGCACATCCGCCTCCATTGAAAACTGCGATCACAGGAAACCCGTCAACCAGCAGGCGGTGGCAGGCGGTGGCAGGCGGAGCCCTCCTCTCCTCTCCTGGGAGAGGCCTGGATGATAGAAGAACCCCCCCAGGCCTCTGAGCCCTGGAAGAGCCCGGGGAGGCTCCGAGGGGTCACTCACCTGGAACGCCGGCCATTGCTCCCTGCTCACCAAACTAAGGTGGCCGGGGGACGCTGGCCACCCGACGAATAATGAGATGTGCCCCATTCCTGAGCGTGTTTTCTGCAGCAACCTGGGAACAGGTGATGACAGCTCTGTGCCGATTATAAACCCTGGGTGTGTAACCCCCATACCTCTGCCGGGCGAAGACAGTGTGCCAGAGTGGCTTATTGGACACCCTCCAAGTCCTTCAACTGGCTTTGCTTTTAACTTTCCACAATTTGAACTTTTGCTCATTCTAACTGTCCTTTCCCTCCGCCAAGCCCAAATCCCAAACTGGCCTCGGCCCCAGAATGTGTACGGATGGCCTTGGTTTCACGTCATCCCTCCATTTCCCATTGTTTACCCTTCCTGAGCCTCCCGGCAGGAACGCAGTCCATCAGCGTTGGTCTGAACCACTCTCCAGCGTCATCTGGCTTCCAATGTGCTGAAGGCAGAGCAGGTCGAGCTTGTGAGCTCCAGCTGAGGTTTGGGCTGGCTTCTTCGGGGACCCGGCTATTTCTGTCTTTCTGATGTGGTTTCTCTTCCTCCTCTTAGCTGCAGGTCTTGTTCCTGGTCTCTGGCCCCCATCTGGCCACAGTGCATGTGACAGGGGACACGGCGAGGCCCTGTGAGCAGCCAGACTTGGGAACCAGAGAAGCACCCACCTTTCCCGTTCTCCTGAACACAGTGGGGGCTCCCACAGAGGGTGGGGCCCAGCTCCCGAGCACTCAGTGCCACTGTCAGACTGTCACCTCTCGGCCCCCAGCCGGAGCCTCCCCTCACTGCTCAGGGAACAGGCACCCCTGGTCCATTCAGCAACTGATGGAGACCACACGGCTTCTTGGGGCCCCCAGGCCAGGACAGCTAAGTGACCAGGCCACATGGCATCGAAGCCTCACAGGCAAGGGGCCCCACACACTGACAGGAACCAACAAGCCCTTCTGTCTGCCCTTTGGCACCTAAGGCCCCAAAACATGTGCCATCGATGTTGCCACTCAGTAGCCGATTCCTAGAAAAAGCCAAGTAAAACCCAGTAACAAAGACACTGAGTTCATTCTGTCCCGGCACAAACTAACCAGCGGCGCAAGGCGGCAAGAGGGAGGGAGGCAGGACCCCACGGCCGCCGGACGCTGAACCTCTGAGCGTGGGACTACTCACCAGGGCTCTGCTGACCCCTCCCTCCGGGCGATGGCAGGACCTGCGATGCCCAGTGCCCCTGGAGCAGAACCACACACGTGTTTTCGAAACAGATGCCACGATACTTCTAACAGCAGCAAGACCCGCTAATATTTATCTTTCTAAAATGCATTTTCAAATATGCACAGGAAAAGTTCTAAGCACGTAGAAATGTGGCTCAGGCGTCCTTCAGAAATGGAGTACCACACTTCAAGCTCCAGAGAGTCCCATGAGAGGTGACACTGGTGGCGGCCTTCGCTCTTGAGCACCGACTGTCTTAGTCTGCTGCGGCCACCATAACAAAGTGCCCCAGGCTGGGGGCTCAAAACCTCAGAGTCATGCTGTCACCACCTAGAGGACAGAAGTCCGAGACCCAGGTATCCCAGGGCTGGTTCCTCCTGCGGCCTCTCCTCCCTGTGTCCTCACGGGGTCGTCCCTCTGTGTGTCTGTGTCCTCATCTCCTCTACTTATAAGGACACCAGTCCTACTGGATTAGAAACCATCCTAACGACCTCATATAACCTTAATTGCCTCTGTAAAGGCCCCATCTCCAAATCCAGTCACTTTCTGAAGACTGGGAGTGGGGTGGGGTAAGGACTTCAACACAGGAATGGGGGGTGTGTGTGCAAAATTCAGCCCCTGACCCCTCCTGTGCTCTCCTGTGCCAAAGCTTTGCACTTGTCAGCCTGTGGGATCCTCTCCACTATCAGACCCCCATTTACCGAGGAGGACACTGAGGCCAGGGCACTGACACAGCTTTTCCAGTGCAGGTCGTGTTACCACAAGCCTCTGTCCCAGTCACTGCCCGTGAGAAGACTCTCCCCTCTGCTGCTGCTCTCCTGACAGCATCCATGACGACCGCCTGTTAGATAGACATTGATGGTGCTCAGACACGCCCCATGAGTCAGGGGAAGGACGGACGTTTTGACGCAAAGCAGACATGGCCTGTCCCACGCATCTGATGCGAACAGGGACCGCGTGTGCACGGGACGCCCCGACAGGTTGCTCTGCCCCACTCCCTTGTCCCTTGCTCTGTCCCAGGGTCTTCCAGCCTCGTTTCTGGGACCTTTCACCCCAACCTCAAGGAGAGTTTCAGACTTCTCCAAATGAAATGCTCTCTTGTTTGGGGAGAGTGTGGGCGTCAGGGGTGATGGGTTCTTTGGCAAAATCATAAAGAGTTTGAGCAACGCAACATTTGGTCTATGCCAATGTTTCCCAAACTTACCAGCAGCAGCTCAGGAAATGTCACACATGCACAAATTATAGTTAATGGCCCAAAACAATGGTGTCCACAAAAAACATTGCTGAAAGAAATGATGAAAATCAGATTAAACACAAAAATGTGTATTTGGAGGTTCATAAAGGCTGAAATGCAGACACACACATGTGCACATATATGCACGTGCATGCATACACATGCACACACACATACACACACACACACACCCTGCACACGCACCCCCTTGGATACCTGGTTTGAGTGTGAGCCACAGACGTTGGGCAGGACCTGTCACCACTGCAGAGATGATGGGTTCTCGGGGACCCCATGGCCGGTAGGTAAAGTCAGCGGGGCCTAGGAAGAGGCTCCCAGTGACAGGGCATTGCGGGGTGGGCTCAGAGGTGGCTCAGCTGCGACGGCAGGCATGTCAGGGAGAGACCACGCTTCAACGTCAGCACGGGGCTGCAGGGGGGAGTGGCCCTGGCAGGTGCGTGAAAGGGAAAGCGATGACATCAAGGGGCATTCATTCCCACTGACCCGAGGGAGCAGCCGAGGGTGTGCCGTCCTCCCCGGTCCGCAGGGCCAAGTGCCAAGCTGTGTTTGCACAGGAAAGCTCCCGGAGGCGAGGCTGCGGCATCAAGGGACTTTCTGGTGGGAGGGAAGTCTGGGCGTGGCCCAGTCTCCAAATCCATCACGCAAATGACTCACCTCATCCATTTCTCCGAGTCCAAACCAGAGCCAGGTGAGAGACCCGCCTCCCACCCACAGCAGCCACCTGATGGAAGGTTCTTCCTGCTGACACAAAGCCATCTCCCCCTGAATGGGATGTGGGAGTCGGGCCAAGCCACGGAGCAGAGCTCAGCTCTGGCCCAGCACAGCTTCGGGCGCTCCCAGGACGAGCTGCCCCTGCAGCAATCCCCAGTGTACACTGCTCTGCAGCATGATGGTGGCAATAGCTGACTCACAAGGCCTGTGTCCACATCTCGCACCGCTGCCCACCGGATCCCGCCTTATAGCCCCATGTCCACCTCAGGGGCTGGAAGGCTCTGACGGCCCCCGGCCCGGGTGAAGCCTTGTGCCTTTCATGGTTCTCCTTGTTCGGTTTTTATTTCCCCAGGGACAAGGCCCTACTCAAGTCCTACTGAGCCATCCTAGGCAAGAAAATTCAGGCAGACCCCCCCCCATGTCATGTGACTTTGCCTTAAGGCACCTCAAGTCCTAAAGCTTTCCAACGCCAGCAGTTGTCATTGAAACCCCGAGTTTGAAAACAGTCCAAGCCACTGAGAATCAGGTGGCTGAGTGCCAGGCTCTCTGGGGCGGCTCCCCTCCCCCGCCCGGGGACCCCTAATCCACAGGCCAGGCTCCGAGGCAGGCGTCACGTGCTGCAGATGTCGGCAGGCTCTGCTCAGTGCCCCTACCCCCTCCGCCGCCGGGCGGGGGACAGCACCTGTGTTGCCTCCACTGGCTCTTGCTGTTCACAGGTTGTGAGGCTAAAAAAAGCAGCATGCTCTCCCCACGCGGGCGGCACTGCCACCAGCTTTGACATCTCTGCCTGCTGGTTTGTTTCAGATGACAAGTCCATGAAGCGGTGCTCCTGCACTCTGGGCCCCCAGGCGCACAGCCACACACGGCCAGGCATGAGCACACACGGGCCGTCACGTAGCGAGAGAAGGCCGCCAAGCCCTCGTGGGAAGGCCGCCAGGCCTGCAGATCCGGGGCAGCCTCCCCAGGGGCCTCTGGAATGCACCGTCCGCAGGGCAATGACGGAGCCTGGCTTCCTATGGGACAGCCAGGCCTCCGAATTGGAATTTAGAAACCGCAGGAGCCCCCGAGGGGCCCCAGATACGTGAGGAGGCTCAGGCAGCTGGGTCAGGAGGGGACCCGGTCCTAGGCCCTCTCTGCCCTCAAGAAAGGGTCCCCCCTGTCACCTACACTCTCCTGCCCCTTTCCGTCCCTTACCAGCCACAGGACTCCACAGGCTGTCAGGGTCTCAGTTTCTGCACCAGCAGAATGGGAGGACTCCAACACCCCTCAGAGACACCAGGAAAGGAAGTGACACAAACTGTGCAAGCGCCAGGCAGGTAGCAGGTTGTCCATGGCCAACCCCCTTCCCTCGGGGGTTTTATGTGCATGTCTCTCTCTCATCCTAGCACCAAATGCTTCCTCCCACTAACCACCAGCTGCCTGTGGGTGGCAGTGATGGAGGGAGGCAACCCCTCAGGCCCTGGGATGTCACTCCAGGATGCTGCACATCCACAGGCCCTGAATGATCAGGTCCGCAGGCCAAGCTTATGGAAAAGGTGAAGAAAACACAGCCATCAGGTGAGGAGGGTGCCGTGGCTGCCGGCTCCAGCACCCCCAAAGGGCCCAGCCATGTGTGCTGACTTCTGATGGCTGGAGCCCCAGAGCCGTGTTGGACCTGAAGGTGACCTCCTCCTCGTGAACTAGGATGGAGGTACAGCAGGGGATAAGAAGCCAGGCCCCCGTGTCAATGCACACCCTCCGGCTGGGACTTCCTGCTTCCACATTTCTTTCATGCGCGAGAAGAGCAGACTGTCTCGTCCGTTCAGAAGACAGCTTTTCCAGCTGTCCGCCTGTGGCGGTTCAGCGTGAACATCTCATCGCCACGCACCAGTGGCCCAGCACAACCAGGTCTGCGGGCATGCCTGTTGGCTCACAGACGCTTCTCCAGGCAGTGGGGCGGTGGGCTGCAGCTCGCCCGCCAGGCGGTCACCCCGCGTGCCCGGAGGTGTGTGCACAAACACTGCAAAAGGCCCGTTTCCCCCAGACGCCAGGGCCTCACTTTCAATATGAAACCACCATCCACCTGACCTTGGGCCAAAAGTAAATATAGTTCAAGAGTTTAAATAAAAACTCCTTCCAGTGCAGTAGAACTGTTGGAAAGAAGTGCTTTCTAAAACAACAATAAACAGACGTTAAGTGGGTCCAGCGTGGGGGAGGGGTCGAGCCCGAGGAAGAGGAAGGGGTCTGCACGCTGACCTGAGGGGTGGCGGCCAGGACGTCTTCCAGCACCCTGGGGAGGTGACAAGACTTCTGGGGTGAGCTGGCCGAGGGTCCCAGGGTCCTTTCACCAGGCTCTGGGGCCTAAAGCCACAGAATGAGGGAACTACGGGGAGCCCAGGGCTGTGTGAATGTCTGACATACTGCCCCCAAGCCTGTGAGTGAACGTGAGGCCCGCCCCTCCTCACCGCGGCTCTGGGGACACCAGGAGAGGCAGGAGGCCACGGCCAAAGCTGGTGGTAGAAGAAGACCGGCTTACAGACATCACAGGTGCCCTCCCCGTGGGTGCCAGCCTCAGTGCACGAAGCTCAGGCCAGAAGCGGGGACAAGCGCACGGACTGAAGAACCCGCCCCCCACGGGCGCTCCTGAGAGCTGTCGCCCAGAGACGGCTGCTTTCCCAGTGCTGGTGGCTGCAGCCTGAGCGGCTGGGAGCAGGTCTGCGGGACCCTCGCCTGGAAGGGTGGGGGTGTATTGGTGAGTCCGGTGGCTGTGTGCGCGTGTGTGTGGGAGGGGTGTAACTGTGTTTGTGTCAGCGTGTGCAGGTGTGCACAGGGGCCAGAGCATGTGAGGGCCTCTGTGAGCGTGTGTTGGTACGTGTGTGAGCAGCAGTGTATATCGTATGTGTGTAAATGTGAGGGGGGGGGTGTCTGTGCTTCTCCCCAGAGAGAAAGAGACTGTCCTCAGCTCGGCCTGACCCCCTTGGCTGGCCCTGTGGACAGCAGCCTGCACCCCCAACACCAAGGGCTGAGGGCCCCCCACAGCCCCTGGACTCCACAGCCCATCACCAGCGCTGCCATTGAACAGAATGCTCCCATGCCATCTCCACCGATGGGCATTTCTCCTGCTTTTTCAAGAGGAGTTGTCTGTGTCCCCACGTCTCCCACTGGGAGGATTTCTAGCCCCTTGGTGGCTGGCCGGTCGGGCCCAGGTTCCTGAGAAGCAGCAAGCCCAGCCCATAGCACCAAGCGGGACCCCGGCCCCTGTGGCCAGGGCTCCCTCCTGCCTCTGCTGGTCCCCACGCAGGGCCTCCTCCCCATGTCTGACCACTGTGCACCGTCTTCACCAGAGAGCAGGCATGTGGTGGGAGCCCTGCCAGCTTCTCCCGGGTACTCCTGGAGCCATCAGTTCTGTCCCCTCAGCCGCAGGGTCACCTGAGAGTGTCTGTCATGAGGTGAATGGAAGCAGGGGCCATATAAGGAAGGAGGTGTCCTGCCCACGCCTCTGCTAGGGCCCTAAGCCCAGGTCCAGGGGTACAGCCCTTTCTCCCAGCCCCACCCCAAAGTGTCTGAGGGCTTCTACCTCCTGGAAGTTGAGATCCAGGCCGGAGGCCCAGGGCAGAATACGTGTGAGCGTCCAGACCCCCAGGAAAGGCAGCAGGGCGGTGGGGGCAGCCGAGTGGCAGGAGGGGTGGCTGTGGCCTGTGATGGCAGGGTTGCGGAGGGACGCCTATGTCTGCAGGAAATCCGCGTGCAGACCAGGTAGCAGTCTCTCCACCGGTGTGCTTGGCAGGGAAGTGAGTGTCTATGTCACTGACAGGGGGAGGGGAGGAGCTTTTAGGATTAATGGGGCTGGCTCCAGCACACCATACCCTTTTAACCCCCACCCCCGCTCCCAAATACATAGTGACTCAACTCGGGGACAGAAAGCACAGGACGAGGGGGCGTTCCCACCGCAGGCCCCTGCCTGTGTCCCCCACCCCATGGCTGATGTGTTCCTGACCTCGGATCGGGCTGGAGTGGGGAGGACGTTGGAGCTTCTGGGTGCAGAGGAGAGGCTGAGAGGGCCCACTAGCTGGGGTCCAGGGGTCCTGCAGAGCTGGGTACTGACCATATCTGATCATTTGTGTGAACAAGGTGACTCAGGAAAGACCAAACATGCGATTAGAGCCGGTGCTATCAGCCTGACCTCTGGAGAGTGGAAGGGGGGGCATTGAGTTTAACCACCTGGGCGATGATTTGATCACATCTGCGTAAGGAAACCTGATAAAAACTCTGGACCCTGAAGCTCCCTGAGCGCCCTGATTGGAGGCCTCACAGGATTGTCACACGTGGATGATGTGCCTGGGGGGTGGTCCTGCATCCCTGGGGACACTCCCAGGCCTCGCCTTAGTGTCATTAATTTTTTGCTTTCTTTCTTTCTTTTTTTTTTTTTTTTAAAGATTTTTATTGGGGAATTGGAGGAGGGAACAGGAACAGCTTTGGGGAATTGGGGGAGGGGAACAGACAAGTTGCTGTCCTTTTGTTCTTCAGTCTAGTTGTGGAGGACGTTGCTTCACTGGCCCATGTTGGTATTATCATTGTGCTCTTCCCGGGTGAGGCAGTCGCTCGCCGGCCACTGGACGGCAGCTCATAGTAGCTCATGGCAGCCCACTGCAGCCTATGCTGTCACCGGCGACTCACGGCAGCCCAGCTCCAGGTCGAGCTGTTGTTCACCAGCTTAGCTGTAGAGGGTGCAGCATCACTGGCCCCCATGTGGGATCTGAACCGGGGCCCTGCTGCTCAGAGCTGGCACTCCCAAGCCAACTCCTAACCAACACACCACTCATCTGGCCCTCTACTTTCTTTTTTAATAAATACATTCAAACTCATAAATTTTCTACTAAATACTGACTTAGATGCATTTAACCATTTTTACATGGAATGATTGTATTTCTCAGTTCAAAATATCTGATTTCTATTATGATTTCTTCTGTTACTCATGAGTTAATTTCTACATGTGGGATTTTACCAATTCTTTTTTTGTTACTAATTTCCAGCTTCACTGTATTGTGGTTAAAGAAGGTGATTC